AAGCTATTGATAAAAATTATAAAACATGATAAGGCCATCACTGAAAATAAAGTAAATGAATGGTAAACCAAACAACTGTAACGGTAACATTACAAGGAAACTTTAAATAAACTTATTATGATAAAATTAGTAGATCATTATAATTGGAGAGTTAGAAATTATTTCTTAAAAAAAAGGAGAGGTCAAAATGAGTAGCTTAATTCACTAATCATATTTTCTATCAATTATGATATTCGCATGTTTTACAGCTGCATGCAGTACATAAAAAAAAGAGTTATTACGTAGAAAAAAAGCGATAGCCATTTAGCGACAAATATGAATACAAGCTATAGAGATACAGTTAACAAAGATTCGTAAGTATAGAGACACTGCGGAGGTGAGAGACCAAGGCCGAGTACATTAAATATTTTCTAATAATTATAATTATTATTACCTATACTAATACATGCTTGTGGACGTACAAGTAGATACGTAAAAGCAGAAATACAGTCTCGAGAAAGTAAGGACAACGTGACGTGTGTGCTTAGAAAGCAAAACTTTAAAATAGAAAAGAACACGTACATCGCAATACCTATAAATATAAATTTAGAGCGAGAGAGAGAAAGAGACTCTTAAAATTAGATCTATAAACACTTACAAAATAATCACAAATTTATTTAGATTTTGAGGCGAACGCAAAAAAAATCTTAACTAAAATTTAAATGACCAACTAAAGTGAATTATTTTGCATGTATGTTAAAGCAATGTCATTTTGTACTTGTTACAGCAATGTTATAGATTTTTAATCGACTGCATATTATAAATGTCTAAAAGGAGCTGTTTGTTTTTTTTTTTTTTTTTTTTCATCTCCAGTCCATAACTATATTTTTATCAACCACTTACTTCCTACTTTTTGTTTTGTTCTGTTTCAATCTTACGAACCATCGATATCGTGTTATTCGTAAAATGCCTATCAGCGCCATCGTAATGCACGTGATGATAAAATATAGCGATTTCAACAAGGTATACTCCTTAAAATGCGTACTTTTTAACACACTACCTATAGAATTTACTTACAATGTAACTAAGTATACGTATGCGCTCTGTATATAACTTTGCCAGAAGTTGTTTGCACTTACACGTATACGTGTGCATATATATATATATATATATAGAGCACTAATCCTTACATCTACATCTGTTCAGCGTTTTCCTTTGCCATTTTTTCCTTGTTTCTATAACAATGGAGGCAAACCGGGTTGCCCACGTGCGGAAACATTTCCACCCAAACTTGGTCACACGTCGATTTCGCGTGCACATTTTACTGTTTGATTACATTTGCCTTTAGGATTTTTTCGGTGAATTTTGTGTTTTACAGCGTGTACGGTATGCGTGTGAAAGAGAGAGACAAACGGGGTGTAGAAACGGAAATCCGGACGACCGAATTCTGGAGCACGCATGGCATTGCAGAGGAGAGGAGAGAGAAAAACGCGCACGTACCAACTTTTATAATGTGTGCACATGACACACGTGCCGCTTTTGCAGCTTAAGCTCCCGTTCTCATTATAATTCCGCAACAGTACTATGCACATGTAGGTACCACACACACACACACACTCTCTCTCTCTCTACACGTATACATATAATTTAATGTACGTGTACCGTATACCATCACACGCGTATTATATGCGCACATTCGACGTTTATTGGGAGGAGAAAAAAAGAGAAATAATGGAATTCCAGTAAAAGTGTTTTCTATTTGAATATAATGAATAACTAAATAAACAACTGTAGTATAATATATAGGTATCGGTTTACTTATACCTCTCGTCTCGTGGCACACAATACGTGCAGTGTGTGTGTGTGTGTGCACATGCTGCCGCATATTTGCATACACGCCGTGAACTGAGTTGTACCTGTAAGCTTTTTTACAGTAGGGATTTTTTATCGCGTCAAAGGAAAAGTACATGTACTTTGTTTTTTTTTCCCTCGATATTTTGACTTCGCAAGTTGTACGTATACAATGACAGCTCTTGTATACGTCAGCCGTACCATACACCGTCTACGTGCAAAGTACGCGTGATATACATGACGGATGACTGTTCCGCATTTACGTATACGTTATACAGAGTTACTCCTCGGAAGGAGGAAAGTACAAAAAACTCAATCATTTTCACGAATTCTAATTTTTGTCTTGCGTATACGAAACGGGAGCAGCAGCGGCAAGCGAACACTCCTAATTGAATCCGTATACCGCATGCATACAGCGAGCCGAAAGCGCATAACGAGATCCACTTTTGTTCTTATCAGCGACGGTACACGAACCAAAAGGGTTTCATCGATATGAACAAATACCTACACACGAGTGTATTATTTGTTGCTGCACGTTTGGCCGTGAAACATCAAGTGCTCCCGATGGCAAAAAATCCTACGCAAACGCCGAGTGTAGGTGTGTCCGACAACTTTCAGCAAAACTCGTGAAATGATGCACGCAAAGTATATATATACACACGCACGCATACAATGACCGTTATTGTTTGTATATGGTTGCCAGTGTGCGTATACACATACACATTCGCGGAAGGGGGGTGGGTGATATTTTCCGGGCCAGAAATTCCTCCTCGCACGCGGAAAACAAACGCGCCTTTCTTTTCCGAGTACGCAGGTACACACCACATACAATACAAGACATTGTTTTGTTTTCCAATGTCAGTTGCGCGTATTGGTAAAACATCTAGATATGGGCGAGTAAGCGATGATAAATATGTGGGTTCTGCAAAAAACAAAATAAATGTGTTACAAAGGCGTCGGATCGGTTCATTCGCTTGATGGAACAGTTTTTTTTTCAGAAATTAAAGCTCGCGTTTGTGTACGATCGTTGTTGCGCAAGATCTGGAATATTTTCGGGCACTATTATCGTTGTTGGGACAAATTTTCAATTAAATGCAAAACGTAAGTCGAAGTATCGCTCGACCAAGAAAGAAAGACTTTCCAAATAAACATAATAGGCTGACCCTCCAATGTATAATAGTACCGCATATAACCGTACCGCGTTGTTCTCGTTTTGTCTCGTAAAAATTACATTCTCATTATTAATTTTAATGGGCAGACGTGCAATATACGCGCGTCCAAGCGAGGGGACAAAAACAATGCCCGCGTGTTGGGGGGGGGGGGGAGGCACTTGCAGGTACGCGTTTTGCTTTGGAAAGTCGATACGATACAGGCTAAGAAGAAAAAAAAAAAAAAAAAATTTACCAAGTCTAACACTTTCACTGTCCTTGCCGTGTGCCTTAATGCATTTCCCTAAGAAGAAAAAAAAAAAAAAAAAAAAGTAGTATGGACCGTTATGACGAAATAATAACAATTTCCCCCCAGCGAGAATTTTTTGTCGCTATGGCGAATGGTAGTGGAACGCTTTGATACACAAGGGCATCTGATTTAAGTAGTTATTATACGTATAAGTAGCGGCGTATGCTCACGGAAGAAGGAAGGAGGGGCACTTGTACCTATGCGGTCAAATACGGGACGCGCGAAATCGATACGGTGTGCCTGATTAAGAGTATACCCACTCGCTCGCGCCCCGACAAAGTGTGGGGTATCGATTATATTTTCTTTTTTCTTTTTTTTTTTCCAATAACAATAGCGAACAGCTCGAGTATGCCCGTGCAGTATATATTACGGTAGCTCACGCGCGCGTAGGATATACCCATACATTGTACGCAACGCGCAAGCAAAGAGCGCGGCGTTCCGGAAGTTGAATCTGACCGCGATGGGCGACAGGAAATCATTCGAAGCCGGACGGTAAACCGTTAAACGGAGCATGGGTATACCCACAATTATTGTGTATGGACGCCTGTAACAGAGTTTACTAGAGGGAATCGGGGATTCAATGGACTCGATACCTCTACCGTATCATCGGAAACGAGGATAAATGATTTTGCTCCTTTCGTGTATCAATATGCGCTTGAACGCGAGATAAATTTTCTTTTCATATAAAATATGTACATGCGGAGTATGGGGGTGTGATAAACGCGTGTAAATTTATAATATAATAAGGATGAACTGCGCATATCGTGTGGGTGTGGCTATATTTAGGTACCCACTTATTTTTAATCAGTCACGCCGTGTAAGCTCGCGCATCGGGTGTGTACATATATATTGTATACAATATTGTCGACGAAGCGTATTATGTAGAAGCTCTTGTACCTGTTTATTTTGTGGTCCACTGCAGTAACAGTATAACATATAAATCGGTCTATCTCGTATTAACTGGCCCGAATCGTTTGGAGATATTCACATCATTAATATTGTTTTTTTTTTTTTTTTTTTTTTTAAGCTATTTTTAGTACTAAAGGTGTGGATTACAAATAGCGTGTAGCTACGGGTTACAACGGATTTTTTCAATCGTTGTATCGTTCTGTTTAGGAAATTGGTTGTTTCGCTATTGGTTTTCACCCGTACATTTTTAGAGCGTATATATATTTTGTCATCATGTTTGAAAAGCAGTTTTTCGTATTACTAAAGTTAGTCGTGTTCTTTCCTTTATTAATTTTAATTAACAACTGCATAATAATATATACATATATGTGCAGGATCCATATAAAACATTAGCCACAACTTTATCACATTTGTATTGTGTAGCTGTCTTGCAAAACATTTAAAAATGAAAAGAAACGTTTGTATGGTCTTGCAACGCAGAAATAAGAAAAAAATATGTACAAATAACATTAGAATTACCTACCCATAATTCAGAATCAACAGAGTACTTACCAACAGACCTTTTTTTTCTAAAATACATGGAAATCTCTCACCGTTTCTTTAAAGACGCAATTATTGCTAAAGCCCATACAACCGACGCGACGAAGACTTAATGTCGAAAAACCAAACCCCCAACAACCCCCTCAGCAAACATTGCACGTCTCATGGAAAAAAAGCTATTACTAAACAAATGCAGTAGGTTACAAAATTGACGTTTATGATTGAAAATCAATAGTAACACCTTCTTGTAATTTTTGTTCCAGGCCACTCGAAAGATCTCCAAGTGCGGATATTTGTTTGTGGCGCCAGGATGGGACTTTTCAAACCCATTGAACCGAACAAAGGTAAGCAACGCTCTCGCAATTTTTCCATGCACACGATGATGAGGGACTCGCGTGTAGTTTTCCCTCGTCACCGTCACACAAAAAATTTTCCATACGTAAACACGAGCACACGATTCTTGCATTAAAAATCCAAAATCCTTTTTGAACAATTGCACGTCGCCATCCCCGTCATGGCTTCGCGCGTCATTTGGGGCGTTAAGTATATGATGTACCCGTTTCCCCCCTCGGCCTCCTCGTCAGCTACGTGAAAATACTTAACTGCTGGCGTAGCAATTTTTCGATTTCTATTTGCTTATACAACTTTTCTCTTTAATTTCCGAACCGCGAATGCAATCTCCGTCCTCTCCTGAACCGGGCGTTTTCTCTCTCTCCCTCTGAAATCGGCAAGAGAAAGGAGTCACAGTTTACGCAGGTATATAGAAAAGAACAAAATGGGGGAAAAAAAATAAAACATAGCGCGAGAAACGTAGAGGCTGCTCGTAGCTTTCGCGGAGGTATAATATTATCTGCACTTTGACGACGACGATGAGAAACCTCGGGGATGCCGTTGGAAGAGGTATACAACAACGGTGTATATGTATAATACCTAGTAGGCGCGATGCGACTGACTCGGACCGTGCGGTTGTATATGGAGAGGCGTGGCGGTGACGGTCATTTTCTTCGCGTGTGTGTGTGGTGCGTAAAATGTATACATTGGCTTGCAAAAATGAAAGAAAGGAGGAGAAAAAAGAAAAATTGCGAAAAAAGCCGGAGACGTGTTTAGAATGTAATATACTTAATATATGCGCGATGGCTGGTTTTTTTTTTTTTTTTTTTTTTTCTTTTTTTCAACGTCACGCACGATTATTTAGAGAGTCGCTTGGATTTCTACATCTTTAAATTTACTTTCTGTGTACAAACGAGATATTGTTTTTCTTTCTTTATGCTCTTGAAGAAAAAATCTTTTTTGAAAGAGCAAAAAAAAAGTAAGAGAAAAAGTACTCAACGACGGCTGCTCGAGGTGGTGTCTTCAAATTTATCTTTAGCGCGCGATTTTCGAGAGAAAATAACGTATCCGTAATATGCACAACATAATACTGTTGTACGTCGAGTTTCCTATTATGCGCGTGTGTTTAAATCCGTAAATCGATTTTGCATGGTCTTGTTGAGCTTCTCTGAGGGGGACGTCAACTTTAACAGGGCAATCGTAGTTTGCCCGCCCTAAGTACATAATTCTTAACGATTTTGTTTTCTTATAGTTTTAAAAATTTTTTCTTCCCTACCATCATCATGAAGTTGTCCCTTTTTCATTATTATTGTTCTAAATACATCGTCATAGGAGCAAAAGAAGTTTTACACAGTCACACGTATTATTTTGCAGTGTTTATCATTTCCGGAAATTGGCATAACTATTTCATGGATTTTTAAATGCTTTTACGTAATTTCAGTTCAATTTTGTTTCACTACTTATAAAATAATAATCATATAATAATAAGACAATTGTTCAATAAGGTACTCGATGAAATACCACATGAATACTTTTTTTTCTTTGAAAACACTGTGTATTANAAAAAAAAAAAAAAAAAAAAAAAAAAAAAAAAAAAAAAAAAAACGGGACCGGCAAAAAATCGGCATTTATCTTGCATACAACTCCTCCTAGAGCGTCCCGTTATTGACGTACTTATTGACGCGTAAGTCCGAAAACAAAACCAATGATTTTGAATTATCGATGGTGCACACATACACCTACGTGTCTGTCTAATTATTTTTCACTGCGATCTTTCGGGGGAGAGCTAATTTTGAAGAAAAAAGGAAAAGAAAAGAAAAGAAGAGAAAAAAAAAATCATTAGCAGCATCAGCAGTGAGAAGCACGAGGGGGCGGGCTGTTGTTCACCGCCGGGGAGTCGACGCGGCCGATAAAGCCAACGGACGGCACGTGTATAATGTTACACATACACCTCATATGTTTCGTATGACCGAGCCGCTGCAGCGAAAGAGTGTGAGAAGGCCTGTCCCACGGCTCGTGGTATATACATGTGTATACATGGCATAAAGATCTCGATCTCTCATTATTATATACAAGAGATGGTGTGGTGGACGGGAGGAGGGTGTGCGGTTCTCGCGATATAAGTCGTTCGTTCTCTCCCTTTGCCCGCAATCTGCATGTATATGTATATACATGCACTTTAGACGGGGTCGGACATAACACCCACCCACACACGCGCGTACAACACACTCTGGTTCCGCGCGGTCTCGCGGATTCCCGCGCGAAGCGAACCGTGTACTATATACCTTTAGTAGACCGCATACACATGTATAATACCACCAGTGCACGTGTGTATAAATCTATATATCCATATGTCTTTTCTAGCAGCGGATGGTTTTGGCCTAGTGCCTTAGATAAACCACAAAGTTATTGCGCACACTTACGATACACCTCCGTGCAATGTACACGTGTACATTGTTTTATATTATCATGTGTTTTTTTTTTTTTTCTTTTTTTCTTTTTGCTGCTCCATGAGTATACACATATATATGTATAGGGATAAAACACGTGCGCATAACGCCATAATGTTGTACTTACCTGATGTACGTAACGGTTCTTCTGCTCGGCTTATATTTTTATTTATTTTCTTTTTTTTTTTTTTTGTCCGTTTTTATTGCTCTGGTCAGCGGCCGCAAACCAGCTCTCGGCTATTCTTTCCTTTTTGTAAGCAACACCTACTCGTCCATGTCTATTGTGCAGCCGTATACGTACCTATATGTATGTATGGCGAAAAGAAATTATTATTATTATTGCACGCGAATATTGTGCCAAAAGCGATGACGTCGATGACCTGGACGACGACGCTAATATTATATGTATATACGAGAAAGGTCGAGTAGAGAGAAAGAATTAGAAGTGTATGGGCTCTCACGTGTCTTCTTTTTTTTCTTCCTCTTATGTTCTTCGTATATCATGCATATAATATGTGTGTACACAAGAATCGATGACTTGAGGGGAAAAAAAAAATGCTGGGGCGGGGTTTTCTTTTTAACCGAACAGCGTCACCGCAACTGCTGCTGTTGTGTTGAGAGAAAACTTTTTAAAACTTGGACATTTTTTCGACTTTTATCTCGTTTTCGAGGGTGTGGAAAATGTTTCATCAAGATTACAACTTTGCTGGATGACACGAGCATTTTTTCATTGTATTTGAGGGTTTTTTTTTCTCTCTAATTAATTCGCCCTTTCTTTCAAAAAAAAAATTATTGCATTTTTTAAAAACTATAAAAAAAAATTGAAGTACGTTTTTGGAACTGTTTGATATTATTTTAAACAATGACCCATTGAAAAATCGTATAGTGTCTGTGAAGAGTGACCCACTTGGTTGATTATTTGATTGGGATGAACTTGAAAATTGAAAACCACATTTTTTTCAAAGTTTCGGTAAATGTCCAATTCGGACAGATTATAAATTAAAAAAAATGACACGTTAATGAAAAAAAGGAGCTTTCAAGTGAGACCTGTTGTGCCAGAAAAATAACTTGGGAAATCAACCAATTGGTTTCGCAATTTTGGATCTGATCATCTACGTAACAATTTAATCTGACATCCTCATGTAAACATAATTTTTCAAACCCTTTTGGAAGAAATTCCGAAGTGATTCTTACAATTTTAACTGTGTAATCACTATATTTTGGAACAATCCGGAACAGGCAAGTGTGTCACACCGGCTTTTCGGGATTACCACGTTTTTCTGATCCATCAGACAGTATAAAAAAAAGAATCAGTTCCTAACATCATTTTAACGCACTAAAAGCTACGTGGTGGATGATTTTTCGTGGAACAGCTCATATACCTATAAATGCGCTTACATTCTCGCGCTGGAACCCGTTACGGGCCCTACCGATTTTTCATATAGCCGCGATCTCAATATCCATACAATTCCATTATTTCCCCGCAAAACGGAGACATAAATGATCACTGCAACTGCACGTCGTGTACAACATAATATATACTCACCAGAGCATGCACGTCCGCGGAGCACGTGGTTGCTCTCGATTTTTCTCTCTCCCCCCCTCCCCTCCCCGCATTTTGTGAAATATACACACACGGACAGCGAGAGGTACCCGATGCAAATGTCGGGGAGTCCGATCTGTCGTCGATTCTTCCCGACGACCTTTGCTTTTCGTCATATCGATCGTGAAATCGGTTGTGGGAGCTTGTTTGCGGATTTTCCGCCTGATAATGCAGTGCATTGGTGTAAAGGACGCGTACACGGAGCGCTTTTACTTTTCGATTCTTGTGCCATTTTCAGATGTGTAGATCCTTCTCATTGCTGTACTATTTTCCTTATCTTAAATCCCGCAGTCCCGAATCGTATTGCAATATTCATATTTTACCTGATTTTTTAGTACTGCGCATATTATTTTACCGTCCTCTGCTACTTCTTCTATATATTTAACCATCGAGTATTTTTATACGACGTACCAAAGCACGTTTTTTTTTTATACTCGTTACATTTTTCTCATCTTACCTATCATACCCTAATATAACATCTGATATAGTATATTACGTACCTAGGCCAGAAAGTGGGGCTATTACTTACCGCGTTATATTATCGGTAATGCGCGGTCAGATTTAGCCCCACTTTTTGTCCGTGGTACGTATACTTTTTTTCCTTACACCTCCGCCGAAAGTTCGTCACCACGGTTTTAGTTTTGTTAAAAATGAAGGTTTAAAGATCCAGTCAAAGATTTAGTGCATTATGCATTATTGTTGATCGATCGGTCGCTCGAACAATCCCACTTAAATGCACGTAGATGAGTGTACATGTGTATAGGTATATCTACATATATAGCACTTATACGCTACCGATGACTGAGGAAAGGAGAAGGGAGGAGGGAGCTCTACGCTCGCCGAGACTGTAGTATATTATATAGAAACAGATTGGGCCGGGGATTTGTGCAGATTGGTCGTGCTGGCAATTTAATTTTGTGTTGTGTACT